GAGTACCTTAACCAAACCCTCAAGCGCCACATCAGCATCTTCATCCTTCATTAGTTCCTCCGCGACTTGAGCCGGAGTCAAAAACTTGTCCATCAATCAAATGCTTTATTTCCGGGTAGAGACGGTGAGTGTCATCATCATTATCGTGAGACAGGCCTAAGTAGTTAGACGCCAATATCTTGAATGAATCCCTCAAAACTGCAGTGTCCCATGTAAATTTGCATATCCATACGGCCTGGTCTGATTAATGCGGTATCGAGATTCTCTTTGTTGTTCGTCGTGAATATTATAATGCGTTCGTTTCCACAACTCGACCATAACCCATCTATGCAATTTAAAAGTCCTGATAACGTCAATGGTGTTGATCCCTATTCACATAAAACTTGTTTAGGAACCATATGTATTGGTTACATAAAATAATAAAACGAAACCATTGTCAAGACCAAACCTCGAGACCACCACGGGTTGTGGACCTTGTAGGCAAATCAACGGAGCAGTCTATATCTTCTACAACAAGAATGGAGCTGTTTTTAGTGGCCAGAAGCAACCTCCTTAGAGTCGCGTCCCCCTTCACGCTTGCGAACTGGAGATCATAGACATCGAATTTGAGGTAGTTAGCAATAGCTGCCACTAGACTAGACTTCCCGGTCCCTGGTGGCCCGTACAACAAGTAACCCCTCTTCCAAGCTTTTCCAACTTTTTTGTAGAAATCTTTCCTTTTGATGAACCGATCAAGATCTCCCATCACAGAACGCTTGAGCTCATCATTCATAGCCATCGTGTCAAATGTTGAAGGATGCTCGAAGTTCACAGACTCCCATCTGCATTGAATTTCAGAGTAGGAGTGCATCTTGAGAATTCTCTTCTCGTTCTTGATCAGATTTGCCTAGCCTCCTTCTCCACATAAGGTACATAAGAGTTCAAGACCAAGTCTCTGTGTTTCTTGTCAAAGCTCAGCTCGAAGCATTCCCAATTGAAATTTTCTTGATATTGTCCTCCATCGTCTGCAGCCGGGATTTGTTTGATGCCATCTAAATGTCGCCACTTAAGCTCAGCGCCTTGGTAGGTATCGGAGACAACCTCCCCTTGGCATATGTATAAGTTGACCTTCTTATTGTTAGGGTATCTAGTAATCCTTAGGTTTGATGCATCAGGGCTTATCTTGCTTGAGAGATAAATCTGAGCCGCGGAATAGAGCTCGTTTTGCATCATATAACCGTTTTTCTGAGTCCCATCTCTCTGATTGATGATGAGCATAAGAATCGATGAACGAGAGCCGACTAAAGACTTTTATATAAGAGACGACCAAGTTTTGTACCCATTGTGGAATTACCGTGTGAACCATTGGTCTGAGCATCATGAAGATTCCCATCATTGATGAATAGGTAGAGAAAATTGATGCAGGAGAAGGGAGATCTCTAGAGAACACCATCGTTTTTGGACTCTAGGGTTAGGTCAATCTTTCTTCGATGTTGTTGTGTCTTGAGACTTTTAATTAAATTTTGTTTATATAGAGACCAGATTAGGGCGTTAATACACAGGTAAATACTTCAAAAATTTAGAGAAATTTCAAAAAATGCCACTTTTCAAGTGTCACTTTACAAAAATGTCACACTTTTGAAATCTTTACAAAAATACCACTTTTTCAAAATTATTTTTTCTTTATATTATTTATGTTTGGGTTAACTATGTTCTATTAGGGTTTAGTTATGAGGGTTTAGGGGTCAAAACATTTTTTAGTGTTTAGAATTTTAAAATATAGGGTTTAAAAATCTATAATTAGT